CCCGGGGAAGGGCCCCCGCCGGCCCCGCGGGGCACCGCCGCTGCCGGCAGAGCGCTCGTCAGTGCTGCACTTCGCGACCCGTTTGCGTGACCCCCTTAGACCTTCCCCCAAGGGATCCCCCTCCGCGGGTGGCCGGGTGGCCGGCGCAGCGTGTAAACGTGCGATATTTGGGACACTGGTTATTAGCTGCGGGTTAACCCCAAGGGCTGTCCCCATAGAGCTCCTCTCAAACGCAGGCTCCCCCGCCCGTCTGCAAGTACATGTTGCGTGTTCTTCCTTTCCGACTCTTGAGCTAGTCTCAAATTGAAGTCTAGCGCTAGACCTGGCTCCCCGAGGCCCTTGGCACTCAACTCTCAATAAAATTCTTTCCAAGAATGATGTCAACAGAAAGTGCCAACAGTTTCACGCTGATCGGAGAGGCGTCAGATGGTGGCACGATGGAAAACCTCAGCCGGAGACTGAAGGCAAGTTTTACGTGAGCTGGTAAACTCACTAGATGCTCTCCAAGATTAAACTGCAAAGTTTCCCATAGCACTAGCCTCCCAGTATTTTTGTGGGTGAGTAGTTCAGTAAAGCTGGCTTATCTTAAATCAAGATTTGATCTGCAAAAAATACTGTGCTAATTGAAGAAGCACAAGCCCGTCTGTTGGAAACCAGCCGGCAGCTGCCCGTGGCTTCACCTGAGCTAATGGTGAACTCTTCCTGCAGGTCACTGGCGACCTCTTTGACATTATGTCTGGGCAGACAGATGTGGATCACCCTCTGTGTGAGGAATGCACAGACACTCTGCTAGACCAACTAGACACCCAGCTTAACATCACAGAGAACGAGTGCCAGAACTACAAGTGAGTGAGTGATGTGCAGGTGATCTGAGACCGAGTTGCTTTAGCTTGAAGCCTAGGGAAAGAATACAGCCTTGATCTGGCTTTCCATGATCAGTAAGAGACGTCCCTGAGTTCAGCGCTTGGGGTTTTCTTTGTCTGAATGAGATGAAAAACTTTGAGGGTCCTGTGGTACACAGCTTCGCCAGCTGAAGTCTGTGAGCTCGTTGGAATGACTGATACCACCTGCCCGTAGCACCTGCGTGGCAGCGTTCCCGCGCAATCGAGGGCTTCACAGAGATGGTTACTGACAGGCAGCAACAGACCTTGGCTCACCATCTCGCTCCCCTGTTCTCCTGGGTGTGTTCCTGACTCACAGTGCAGGATCAACACGGAGGGCTCGGGATTAACGAGAGGTGCATGTGAGATCAGAGCCTCTGTTTGCATTTCTGCTCACGCCTGCAGGCTGTCGCGGAACCGGGGACTGTTGGCGGGGGGTTTCCCAGGATCCCAGTTTTGGTAATCCTGTCACTCTCCTTTAGGAGATGTCTGGAGATACTGGAACAAATGAATGAGGACGATAAGGAGAAACTGCAAACAGAACTGAAAGAACTTGCACTGGAGGAAGAGCAACTGATTCAGGAGCTAGAGGATGTTGAGAAGAACCGCAAGATTGTGGCTGAAGACTTCGAGAGAGTCAGAGCAGAGGCAGAGCGGCTGGAGCAGGAAGAAGCTCAGTGAGTGAACTACAACTGCAGGTTATGCCCGGGTTTTTAGGTAACAGATAAATGAGATTATAATGTGGAGAAACCTGTAAATAATGCCCAAATACGAGTGGCTTGTTCTTTGCAAAATTGAAGTTGGCTAGACCAAAGAAACCTCGTATAACGTGTGAGCAATCACTTCTCTGTAAAAGGCTGCACTTAGCAGTTCTCGACTTGCTTTTATTAAAAGGTATCAGAAAGAATACTGTGAATTCAAGAGGCAACAATTGGAGCTAGATGATGAGCTGAAAAGTGTGGACAACCAAATGCGCTATGCCCAGATGCAGTTGGATAAATTAAAGAAAACCAACGTGTTCAATGCAACCTTTCACATCTGGTAATGTAGACGCTGGAATGTTGCGTTAGTTTGCTAAGAATCTGCAACGTAGGGCTGTTAAAGTAATACTGCGTTTGAGAGGAAAGGTGCTAGTCAAGTTATAGTTAGCCCACAACAAAGCAACTGGTCACGGCTTCCAACAGCATCAGATGAGATAGGTTTGTGACGCCGTGCAGATGTCAGAATAGACTGTGAAATGGCTCTTCCACTAACCCTGTTAACAAACTGGGACCTACTCTGCTAGCCAATGGTAATGCTCTAATGTCAGGCGTTACAGAACAGGTAGCTCAGGGGGTTTGGGTGTTTGGTTGGGGATTTTTGTTGTGGGTTTTTTTTGGTTTTTTTTTTAATTAACTGTGTCATAAGAAGAGAACAAGTGGTTGGTATTTATATACGCTTTTTAACTAGAGCCCCCAAACCCTCCTTTTGCTTGGTTAGCAGTGTGCATTCTGTAACTGTTAGGTTTGCATGCTAGAAGCTGTTCCTGCCCCACTGTGCTTATTTATAATTCCTCTTATCACAGGCACAGTGGTCAGTTTGGCACGATAAATAACTTCAGACTTGGCCGTCTCCCCAGTGTTCCTGTAGAATGGAATGAGATCAATGCTGCCTGGGGGCAGACTGTGCTGTTGCTACATGCCCTTGCTAACAAAATGGGCCTGAAGTTTCAAAGGTATATGCAATATAATACACGTTTCATTTATGGCTCAGATAAAGGCAGTTAGACTCACCTGCCTGTGAATCGTATCTCCTTTCAGATACCGTCTTGTACCATATGGCAACCACTCGTATTTAGAGTCCCTCACAGACAAATCAAAGGTAAGAGATCCTACCCAAATTGGAGGACACTGACCTTGAATGCCACAGTGCCCTGGTCACGCTGGGGGATGCAGAAGACAAGCTCAGCTTTTTATGAATTTATGGTACAGGAGAGCTAGCTGCCCTGACTTCTCCAACATAATAATCTCACTCCATATCCTATATCAAGCCACTCGTTCTGCTGTCCAGTAGCATTAAAACCAACAGGACTCTTGAACTCTACACTGCAGCTGGCCAGAGGAAGATAGCATGATTTGGGATGATTGTTGGTGATTAGGAACCCAAGCCTGCATGCGGTAGGCACTTACCACAACACAAGTCACACTTATGTGCCACAAACCGTTTCTAAGCATCCTGTGACAAAGTAAAGCCTCGCACAACACTGAAGAGCTGCAGTGACCATATTTAAAATGGAGTGCCTGGGGTGCCTGAAATGAATCTCTTTTCCAGGAGCTCCCCTTGTACTGTTCTGGAGGCCTAAGGTTCTTCTGGGACAATAAGTTTGATCATGCAATGGTGGCTTTCCTGGACTGTGTGCAGCAGTTTAAAGAGGAAGTGGAAAAAGGCGAAACTCGGTTTTGCTTGCCGTATAGGTGAGTGTTGCTATGTAACATGTCAAATTAACACCTCATACTGTCCCGAACAGTGCTAACTGACCTCTGAACCAGTCTACAGCACTGCTTGCTGTTTCAGTCCTGTCTTTCTGGAATCATCCCATGTTCTTTATAATATGCAGGATTACCACATTTGCTCTTAGTTTAACTGAAATCTAAAACAAGTTCCTCAGGTGAAGACCTGAGGCTTGCTAGATTTCCTTTAAAAACAAAGTATTCTTACACAGAATAATATGAATGTCAGATTTCAATTTTAGTACTTGACATCATACTGAGATTAAACGCTTGCAATAGTAATGCACTAATAAAACTTTGTGTGTGATACAGGATGGACGTGGAGAAAGGAAAGATTGAAGATACAGGTGGCAGTGGTGGATCTTACTCTATTAAAACACAATTTAACTCTGAGGAGCAATGGACAAAAGCACTAAAATTCATGTTAACTAACCTGAAGTGGGGTCTTGCCTGGGTCTCATCCCAATTCTATAACAAGTAACCATGTAAAGAACTTGTCGTGGCAGCTGTAGAGTGTCTGCATTTCATTGGAGAAAGTCAAATTAAGATGTCTCTTAATATTAACCAGTACAAAATGTTTACAATACCAAAAATCCACAGGACACTTTATTTAGAATACCATTATTACAAGTAGTATATAGAAAAGCAATATGTAAAGTTATATCATTGAGCTGAACAGAATAAAAAAAATTAGCTATTAAATAGATGCTAAACTGGTACTTTTGGGGTTTGTAGATACGCATATAAGTTACTGTTGAACTTCAAAACACCCGTGAGTTTGATACAACTCTGTTACAGCTTAACACACAGGTTAGAAAAACAAAATGTTACAAACACAGAGAATAACAAGGAAGAACTCACTGAAGCTCTGCTTGGTCATTAAAGAGTAACTACAGTTTGAAATAAAGTATTTTCTAAGTCATATCAGCACTTCTGTGTGTCACTAACTTAAGGTTTGATCCTGTTTAGAATACTCTTAGCTATGATGGTATTAACTACTTTTAATACTTCCTGCAGCCTGTTCTTGCAGAGAGGTGCACTGAATAAATAATAAAACACTATTCTACACAAAGAGTGCTTTCATCTAGCATATGCCAGGCACAGCATAAACAGCCCCAGGCACTTACAGGGACGCACTGAACAGGCACCTGCTGTCACAACAACTGCATTGCTTTCAAAACTGGTGGGATTCTGTCCTTTTCACAGCACTGGTCAACTAGCTGGCTGTCATAAGGTAAGAGCAAACAGGCTCTGAGCCCTGGCAAAGGCGGAACACAGTAACAAGCAGCCTGGCTGCAGCAGGCTGCCTGACAGTAATTTCTTAAAAAGCAGTAAGCAGAGAAAGAAAGTACAGCCCTGTTTGTAATGACTGAGCATGCGAGCTGCTTCTAGCCAAACTGATTACCAAGCAGAATACCATGCACATTAACGCCTTTTTAAAACATGACACTTCTTTGAATAAAGAGATAACTCTAAGGAAACTTCTATTCATAACTTAGAAGATGTAGCCCTTACAATAATTTTTTTGGTGCTGAAAGAGGTATTTCTAAGTGCTGCTTTCCTCCTATGTGCCTCCCATCACAGCACTAGTGCATTGCCTGAAAGGACGAGCTTTTCTAGTTAACACGTAACATACAAAATGTTACAGAACACCTGGTGTTCCAAACCGAAAGTAAACCCAAATTGTGTTGGGTTCCCTGTGCAGTATTGCAGAAGATGGACTATTACCAGCAGCGTAACAGTTTGCTACTGATATGCTAGCGACTGGCCGTAGGAGATGATAGTTCTATTTAAGAGGCATAATTCTGTTCTCTGGAGCTTTTGTTCCACAGTTCCTATAGCGCTGCTTTGGAGTGGTACTGCCAATGATGTGTTTCAGTACTGCGTAAGAAAATTCTAAGATACTTTGTGAAGTAATACCAGTGATACAGTTTAAATGCTCCACAACCTTGAAAAAAAAAACCAACAACAACTTACTTACAGTGCCTTAAGAGACATTAGTTTGCAGACATACTTCTTCATCCTCCAAATCTAATGAGAATAATAGTGCTCCATGGGTGCACTTCAACAAAAGTTGAAGCCTCTCAGCATGTTTTTTTATTTGGTTGTTTTTTTGTTTACTTGCTTTGCGGTGGTTTTTTTTCCTGTTTTGTTCTTTTTTTTTTTTTAATTTAATTGCTTCTACTAAAGAAGTAAAATGAAGAAGCTACTATCTGTAATAGGTTATTTGTTACAGTATTCAGTAGCAGTTTGGGCAAAAAGTTGTCCCATGGGATTGCTTCTCCAGCTGTCAACGAAATGATGTCTGTGGGGATTTGTTCTGGCTATAAAGAAGCTGAAGCGTGAGGATACGCTCACACTAGTGCAAGCACAAGCCTTCCTGCGGAATTGCCCATGTACCCTCGTAACGCTTTTACAAAAGTACACACGCTTCCTGCTAAAAAACCTGGAATGTGTCACCTCCCTTGTGCTATTCCCAGTAGAGTCCACCTGTCTTCCTGCTGTGCTTAAACATATAAACAACCTTCACGTTTTTTTCATGTAGAGCCAATGTGTTTAGAAGTGACTGTACCTGCTTCCAATGCCCAGGGTTTAGTATGAACACGCTTGTGCTGATGATTCCAACAGCCAAGAGCATGAAATCTTCCTTTACTGTCAAAAACTTTGCTCTGCAGAATTAAAAGCGTCTTCTGGTGTAAAATGATGCTAGCATTAAGTTCAAAAGCACCTACTTCTGTAATTGCTGTACAGCCTACAGACGTGTTAGCTTATTCGGCCTTTCAGTCCAAATAAAGCCTGATACTTTTAACTTTAATTGGCAGTGCTAAAGCACTATGATTTCTACTAAAGATTTCTACGATTAAGTTAAACACTTTCCTAGCTTGCCCCTAAAGCAAATGTGGTGAAGCATGTTGCTTTGAACTGGTATATTAAGATCAATAAAGCTGAAAGCCCCCCAAATTAAAATTTTTTCAAACATGCCCAAAAAATGGCATAATTGGAATTATGCTACTGTTTCTTAGGGTTTTTTAGGGTTTTAATTTCAAATAGTTATTTTAAGCAATAGTCACACAAGCTACTTACACCTGCAGTTTGCTCGGTGTTGAATTTTCAATGGCAATCTTCAACAAAGTGTCATAGATGGTATCTCTTGTAAGATAGGAGAAGTCTAGTAGTTGCATACACATCTGATGTAATGGTTTTGCAGGAAGCAGGCAGCCGTTGTGTCCTAGCACAGAGATCATACATAATCAGCCATGCATTTTGAGTCATTAAACTGAATTAGAAAGAAGTGCTAGTTACTGTTAAGTGAGGGATGAAGATTTCTGGTGACAACTGCCCTTTGTTTCTGAATGCCACAGGCCTTTTCATGCCATAGGCTTTCTCAATCTCAGTATAATTTCACTCATTCTGAAATTGAGGTTGTCAGACCTGGGCCAAAAAAATGGCAAGTCATTGGACAAAATGTGGCCTTACACTAGGTTTTGGGGGCTTTACACTCTTAATCTTTTACTGAATGAGTCACGACTGGCTGTCCAACAACATTCATCAGATTCTACTAAGGACAATGTTCTCATCCAAAAAGTAAAGTCCTGGACAATCTGAAATGTTTCACTTGCCATCACAGTATGCAAAAATCTGTAGTATGAGACATTTTGGTTCAGATCAGTAATAGCTCTATTATGCTTTTAAAAAAATTCTTTCCCATTCTGTCCTATTAATACTTTTACCTAAAACCTCTAAAAGCAATTCCACGTAAGCCAAAGGAGTTGACATGTTGATCTGGAAGTGCAGAGTTTTTAAAACAGCAAGCTCCGACTCAAGCAATTCCTGTTTAGTGTATGAGTATTTTAAGGATTGCAGGAATTTTAAAGCTGTGTCACTGTTAACTATCTGAAGAGGAAAAAAAAAAAAGACAAGTTATTTTCTAGGCAAGAAGGCACTTGCTAAGAACAAAGGACTTTCTTGTTTTACTCCTCCCACTGAATTTAAGCATAAGCCACCGCAGTGGTGATGCTGCCCACTAACCCAGTTCTCTAACTTGTCTTTTAAGCTGGCACGAGAAATACAGCTCGGACCTTCTTTCCTGCAGGTTTCCTCTACTCCACAAACCTTCCCCAGAGAGGGGTGAACCCTCTGTAGCCATACAATTTTTGACAACCACAGACGGAGTTTTCCCACTACCTGTACTTTTTTCCCCTAGTACTGGGAACATTTCCTGACAAATTGTTATTTGATGAGTGACAGCTAACGTGCCCTAAATGGAAGGGATTTAGGTCTCCAATATCCTTTGCATTTCATTATCGCTATTGTCTTTCAAAGAGGAAATCTATTTTTTAAGAGAAATTAATATACTACATAATTTACTACACTGCTAAAAAATCATATAAGAAAAGGTTTAGCTGGCTTACATTATAGTGTAAGGAAAGTTTGCTTGCAAGCTGGATGCATGACACAAGTCGCAGGACAAACGTGTCGTATATCTGATCTTTCAGAGAGCTCCAGCTGCTCCCTTGTCCTTGTTCACGACTTTTAACGTTCTCTCTGGAGGACTTACAGATGTGTTCTACTTGCTTGATCATAAACCTACAAAACCCACAATTGCTCAGAAAACAGTTCTCTGCTGCTAAGAAAATCAGTTCTGCATGTACTCAGAATATACGGATAGCTATTAATTTGAACTAAATGAGTAAAGAGCCAAAGCTCTAGACATGCAAAAAACATTATGCACGGTTTGAACGAGTGGTATGGAACACGCACAGCGTAACCACGTGAGAGAAATGAGAAATGCACCAAGCATTCGGGACATTTATTACCTTTCAAGTAACTCCACCGCTTGGTACGTTGCTGATTGGTCCAAGTGCCATTTTTCAGACAAAAGGAATATAAATTCTGCAAAAAAGCGCAACAGTCGTTCATTTCAGTCAACTGAAGCTAATCAGACAGCTATTAACCACCTCAAGAGTTAGCTGTAGTTGAGGAAAGGAGCCTCACCCACGACCTGGGTCTCTTTGAAGCATCCGGCCCGATCCGACAGTTTGCTCAGGTACTGTTCGTTTTCCGTGGCCAAATGGATCAACGTATCCTCGATAACCTCAGGAGCAACCTCGCCGAAGACGGGGCCTGGGTCACGGCACCGGGATGCCACTTGCGCCTGGGACCCCATCCAGCAGTTCAGCTCAGGAGCCTTAAGGACAACAATTAACTTCGGCGGCACCCCAGTGCTTCGTCACCGCCGGCGGGGAGGGGCCCCGGGGCCCAAGAGGCGCAGCTGGGCAGCCGTGGCCCCTCGGCGGTGAGGCCGCTCCCGGGACGGGGCCGCCACGGCCCCACCTTGGCGCCTTCCTGGTCACGGGGCCCCGGCCGGCCAATCAGAGTGCGCCTCCGCCGCGCGCCGGGCCTCACAGCCAACCGCTCGACGCCCCGCTCCCGCCGCCGCCGCTGCGCTAGCGAGCCTGCGTTGCCCGCGCCCTTCCGATTGGATGCGCCCTCCCGCCCCGCCCCTTCTCCGGATGTGACGTCGCCGCGCCGTGCGGAAGCGGCGGAGGGGAAGATGGCGGCGCCGGGGGAGCCGGGCGGGGAGGCGGCGTTCGCGCGGCGCATCGACCCGGTGCGGGAGCCGGGGCTCAGCCCCGAGCAGCGTCTTTTCATGGCGCAGGTGGAGCGCGCCCAGCGCCAGCGGGCTCTGCAGCGGCGGCTCCGCAGCCGCAACGCGCTGCTGGCGCTCGGCATCGGCGCGGTGACGTTTGGCATCTGTATCCTCCGGGACTGGGGCGGGGCCGGGGGGGGCCGCGCCGGGGCTGCGCCCGCTCTTTTCCTTAACATCCCCCCCCAGATGGCTACACCTTCTACTCGGTGTCGCAGGAACGGTTCCTGGACGAGCTGGAGCAGGAGGCAGAGGCGGCGCGGGCGCGGGCCCAGGCACGGGCTGAGAGCGCAGCAAGCTGAGTGCGGAGGGCCCGGCCCAGCCCCGGTAAACCCCGTGAGTGCGCTGCAACCCCTGCGGGGCAGGACGGGCCTCGAGCACAGGGGATGCGCCTGGCCCTGAGCACGGGGCACCTGCCTTTACGGGGGTCTGGGCCTGCACGGCGCTCAGTGCACTGGAGTGGCTCCCCTGCAGGCAGGGCTTCCTCCCCTGCAGGCAGCCGCCTTTGTCCTGGAGGGCAGACAGGGTCTTTGCCAGGAACTTGTTCCTGGGAAGGGCAGGGGTGCCCAGGTGCCCGTCGCTTTCCACAATAAATACCCTGTCTGGAGACTGCATCAGCGCCTGTTGTTAAAGCAGCTGGTGGCCAGAGTCCAGCTCAGGATCTTAATACCCACTCAGGTGTCTGCTGAGATAAAGCAACTTTCTATTTTCCTTTTTATCATCTTACTCAGTTTGCACTCTTATCACGAGCCAACAGCAAGGACAGTGTCCACGAGTCTCGCCGGACAGACACAGACAGACCCCATTTGTATTTAATTCATATTTATGAAAACACTTTCCAGACATCAGTTTGTAACAAAGTGCACCCACTGCCATTGCTGGTGCACCAGCTCTGTCGCCTTACGGGGCCAAGGAAAGCTTCTTCCTGCTCCGCAGCCAGGTCATTCTGGGCTGTGCAGAATGAGATGAGGGTGGCAGCGAGCAGGGCAGCCCCAGGGCAGTGGGCTCAGCCCCCACCTGTGTTGTCCCACGCAGGGAGCTGGGCTGGAGCAGCCCCAGGGCAGAGCTGAAGGATGGCATGGTGGCAGGGGTGGGGATGTATCATGGCTGGGACGCAGTGGGGGAAGGTGGTTCTGCTCAGGGCAGGGCGCCGGCGGGGCCCAGTTCTGCCTGCACGGGTTCAGCTCAGAGTAAAGCCATGAAGGATGGCGGCGCCTTGCATGTGTCCTGCAGCTGGGGCCGGGCTTGAGCAAATGGGCTGGGAATGGCAGGGAGGGGGCCAGGGGGCACAAGGAGGGAGGAGATGGGAGGACAAGTGTGGGACAGGCCTGCCCTCCCTCTGATACAGAGGCAGCAGGTATCCTGCCGCGGGCACATGGCCAAGGGGCACAGGGGCCAAGGCGGGGGCCAGGCACCCAGCTGGCTCAGCCCGAGCATGCTGGCTGCCCCCAGGGCCGGCACTGTCCTCCCAGGAGGCACAGAGGCTCTCACCCACCCCTGGGGCAGCAGGCACTTGGTTGAGGTAGTTCATGAGGTCACTCCTGGCCAGCTGGCTACTGGGGAGAGAAGCAGTGGTGAGCTGGGCCCATCGGGAGCACCACAGGGCCACCAGCAGCGGGATCAGCCCTCCACCCCTTCCTTACCATCCGGCCGAAGTCATCAGCGAAGGTCACGCCCTTGCTCAGCCGCTGCTCCTGCGAGCCGGTGCTGCTGCCGCTCAGCGAGTTACGGCGCATGATGCCTGCTGGGACAGACCAGCCCTGAGCAGGGGGCACCAGCAGGGGTGCAGACACGCACCCCTCGTGGGCCCGACCCCCGGCCCCAGGGGTCCCCGTCCCGCAGCCCCTGCTCAGCCTGCAGGGGCCCCGGAAGGGAGCTGGGGGACAGGGGCTGGCACCTGGGGGCTGCGCCAGCTCCAGGCGCTGCAGGCTGTTGCGGCGGGAGGGGTTGAAGCTGCCCTTGGACAGGCGTCGCTGGCGGCTGGAGAGCATGGCAGCAGGGGAGACAATGCCCAGCGGCGGCTGCTTCCCCATCCGCAGGTACAGCTCCTCGATCTCCTTCTTCTGGGCACTCTGCAGCAGCTGCACCTCAGCCAGGTGCCTGGAGAGGAGATGGGGGCTGACAGCTGAGCCCTGCAAGCCCTGCACCACACTATGCCAGGCCAAGCCAGGGCCTCCAGGGAGGGGCCATCATCCTCCCACCTGGGGAGGGTGGGAAGACCTGTCCCCTCCTGCAGCCCCTGCTCTGCCTCCCAGGTGCAGCCTACCACCCTGCTCCCCCTCGTGCTGTGGGGCTGCTCACTTCTGGCGCAGGTTCTGCAGCTCCTCCCAGATCTCCTCGTCCTCACTCTCCGTGTCATCGCTGCTCAGGTAGGACAAGCTGCGGGAGTAGCTCAGCCACACCTGGCTCAGCACCGCCTGCGGCGCGCTCTCTGCGCCCTCCTCCCCGGGGCCCTCCTGGTCACTCTCTGCCGGCAGCACCGTGCCCTCCTTGGCCAGTGCCTCCTCAGCCTCGGGGTCCTGCTCCGCTGTCGCCAGTGCTGAGTCCGAGTTGCTGCTTGAGCTGCCACCTGTGTCAGGGGCTGCGGGCGGGGGGGAGCCGCTCAGCGCCAGCTCCGTGCCACACTGCTCACCCTCACTGGTGCCCTCGCTGCTGCCTGGCAGTGGGGAGGTCATGTCCGGGTCCTTGGTTGGCGTCACCTGGAACCGGCCCAGGATCTGGGGCTTGGCTTCTGCTGGGGACAGGGGACAGTTGGTGGGATTTGGGGCCCATGGGCTAGCGGGGACATCGTGTGCCCCAGCACAGATGGCAGCCTTGGCTCTTCCCCACCTCACCTTCATTGATGGGCGAGAGCCGGGCCTTGGGCATGCCAGGGGCTGGCGACTCTGAGACGATGAGCGAGTGGCTGGGCTTGGGGGAGCCAGGCTGCACCTGCAGGCACCCGAGCGCCGTCAGCTTCCCCGCCCCGGGTCCTCCCATGTCTCCTGCTCCCCCCACTGTTGCTCCCCATGCCATGGGGCTCCCTGTCCCATCCCAGGGCAGCATCTGCAGCAACAACCTAGCCCCCCCCCAGTGCTGAGCCCCACCTCAAATGGTCCCAGGGAGCCTCTGTCACCCTCACACTCACCGCACTACCCTCTGGGCTCCCCAGCGTAGACGTGCTCAGTGATGGTAGGAGACTCCCTGCAGCCTCGCTGCCTGTGGGGCATGGCGAGGCTGGTGCCAGGGGAGGGAATGGCATAGGCACCCCAGCAGTGGGGACATCAGCCCCCGCTGACTCCGGGGTCCCACCACGGGCCGGGGCTGACTTGGCCATGCTGGCAGGGTCAGGGTAGACGAAGCGTGGGGGCCCCAGAACAAGGCTCTGTGGCGGTGGCAGCAGTGGGGGGTAGAGGTGCCCGCCCGAGCCGGCAATGGAGGAGACGGTGGGCAGCAGCGTGTGGGCCACGCTCATCACTGCCAGGGAGAAGACGTTGGCCAGGGACAAGAGGGGGGTGGTGGGGGACCAGGACGTGCTGGTCCCAGCTGGGCTCAGGGGGCTGCTGGGCCCACTGGGGACAGGGGATGTGGGGAGTGGCAGTGGGGACAGAAGGGCTTGGGGCAGGGCTGGTGGGACAGGCCCCTCCGGGGTGCTCGGGGGGGTCTGCGGGAATGCTGGTGAAGCCGTCAGCCAGGAGGGAGCCGTTGAGACGAGGGGCCAGGTCTGCATGGAGCCTGCAGAGAGAGGAGCATCAGGAGTGGCCCCAGGCCCTATGAGCCCCCTCCACCCCCTGCCCAGGCAGCTCCAAGCCCCACGCTGGCAAGGGACCGGTCAAGGCACAGCGGCTGCACAGGCTGCGGCCGGCAGCCCTGGTGGGATGGACATGCCTGGCCCCACCAGAGCTGGTACCTGTGGGGGAGCCCATCAGCGTCGGCTGCAGCTCATGCGCTGGGGCTGCCAGCACTTCTGTGGGGCTGACAAGGTCGTTCTCCAACGGGGAGCTGCTCAGCGATGGCAGGATGGGGGACTGGACCGAGAGGCTGGGACTGGTGCAGCCCAGGTCTGTGGCACAGGGGTGACAGCCGATGTTCAGCTGAGACAGGATGTGCTCCGCAGGACCCCCTGGGCTCAGCCAGGGCCGTCACCTGCCCGGCACGGGGCTGGGGGGGGCGGGCAGGAAGGGCCCGCACAGGGGCAGAGACGTACCACTGAGTGAGGATGAGGAGGAGATGGAACGCGAGAGCTCCAGCAGCTGCAGGTCCGCCTGCCAAGGGGGATGTGGCTGAGCCCAGCACCAAGGCAGAGACCCCAGAGAGGCTAAGCCAAGCCCCTGCTGGCCCCCACCCCAGCCCCACTGTGTGCAGGGACAGGATCTGGTGGCTCCACTGGGCAGGGGGGCACCACAACCCATCGCAGAAGTGGGCAAGTGACCCAGAGCTGCAGGCACAGAGCTGCTTCTGCCCAGGGCTGGAAGAATGTTGCACCCCAGTTCCCTCCCCACTGGACTCCCTGGGGCCAGGCAGCACCCCCAGCCGTGCTCAGCATCAGCAGCTTCCCCAGCGCTGGCAGGGCCAGGCTGGGCACTCACGGGGCTGCCTGCACCACGCTCAGCCTCAGGGCTCTCGGGCAGCTCGGTGGTGCTGCGCCCATCCTTGCGGAGCAGGGTCTCCACGCGGTGGATGATGTCCCGGATGCGGTGGATGAAGCCATCCCGCTCCGACTTGAGGATGAACTCGTTGTGGACCTGGAGGCGAAGGGGCCGGTCAGTGCCCAGCACAGCCAGGCAATCCCTCACCCCCTGCTCTGCACTCACCATGACGGCCGCGATTTCCTCCGGATTGTCCCCATCCAGGTCAAACTTGAAGGTCACCATCTTGTTGTTGTAGGTCTGCAGCTGGCACTCCACCACCCGGTCGTTCTTGTCAGAGATCTGCAAGCGGCAGGGCCAGCTTCAGCCTGGGAAGCGCCCGTCCGCCCACCTGGCACCCATGGCACTCACGTTGGTGATGCGCAGCCTGGACCGGGCTCGGCGCCGCAGCAGCTTCCCTGAAGCCCGCTTGGGCGGCAGCTTGGTGCTCCGCTCACCAGCCGAGAGCCCCTCACAGCTGTCGCTCATGCCAGATGCCACGTCTGAGGCATAGCTGTGGGAAGCCCCAGCGCTGGAGCATCAGCATGGCCATTCCCAGCTGCTGTACTCCCTGTCTGCCCCCCACCTGGACCCCCACAGCCTTACCTGTCCACCGGGGAGGAGAAGCCGCTGGCTGGGGGCAGGCGCTCAGTGGGCAGCTGTACCGCGATGCTCTGTGGGGAGAGGATGGCATGAGCTGGTGCAACAGCTGCCCTGACCCCTGGCCCGCGGGGCCCCGCTCACCGTGGGGAAGCAGCGTACGGGGCGGGTGGGTGGTGGGCTGGCAGGGTCCCCCACCGAGAAGCCGTGATGGGCCAGGTCCGGGGAGTCCAGGAAGCCAGAAGAGCTCAGGTAGCCGTCCGTCTCGCAGTCAG